CGACACCTGTATTGACAGAATCTAAAAAGCAATTGCATTACTTTCGACGCGTGTCACTGTCTCTCGCAATGAAATTCACACGGTTGTTCAAGCATCATCCATTTCGCAACGTTTCCTCCTAGGTTCGAACACGTTTCATCATAAACAAGGGGATTTTCTTTTTTCTTTTTTTTTTTTTATTTCTTTTCGATCAACAACGTTTAACAACGATTTGCCGCGCTGATTTTGCACACACACACGACTGGCCAAAACGAATCTGTCGTTATACGATGGATATTGTGTTGAAATGTTATCCGCAACAGATAATAGTTGGCGAGTTTATGTTTAATGTTGGACTTGTTTCACCGATGAAATGCGTTTCTTCGATTTTCACTTATTTTTCACGACATGAGTGAAATTGAGAGGTGCATTTCTTTACATGCAAGCCTGAAAAGAATGGCAGGGGAACAAGAATCGGGCGACGATTTTGTAGGAGATATTATGAAAAAAAGATTCAAAACAATTGGATAGAACAGAAGCAAGAAATTGTATCAAAAGAAGATTGATCCACTCATATTATAAATAAAATTATTTTTATACGTTCTAATTAATTCCTTTACATCATCGTAGTAACGAGTTATCAATACATATACTAATATTGAAAAATTTAAAAGTATTCAACATTCACTCGAATTGTGTGTTTCTATTAATCTCTATTAATCTCTATTAATCACCGTACTAACGTACCAAACAGACATTTGACGTATTAAAATTGCAAGTATCCACGGGAGGTAATCTTTGAAGAGCTCTACGACTGCTTCAAAAAGCAGTACGAGAGAATTATTCCTCTTAAGTGAACGAACGGCAGAAGAACGCTTGAACTCGCTGAAGATACAAAACATTGTGCCGCGTTGAGAGAGAACTGCGAAGTCGCCGAGCAGAACGTTCCTCGAACGAGAAATAGAAAAAGTAGTCGCGCTTGGCGATCTTGAGAGAAGCGCTAGTTGCCGCAAGAACAGTTATAATTACCGCGTTCACCGCAAACGTCGACGTCTGTACGTCCGACTGGACAGTTTAGCGTTGTATCGCTAGCGACCACTATTCGCTTAACAGTTGCCAAGCAAACCGATCGCGTTCTTCTTATTGTTACTCTTGTTCGCGTAACACGTCCGTGCAAACACGAATTTAGCTTCCGCCGACCATTCGCCAATACACCATGCAGAACAACAAACTTCCGAAATGTACGAGACAAATTTTTCTAGACCGATGCTTTCCCGCTCATTTTTATCATCTGAAGTAAGTGAAATAAATTTCAAGAATCCCCCTCGAACAAGGTTGAGAAGAAAAGGAAAAAAATTGAAAAAAAAAGAAAAAGAAAAAAACAGAGGTGAAAAGGGGCGACAATTTCGTTGGTCATTTTATCCCTAACGGTACCATACATCCACAACGCGACGTCACAATAAAAACTTATACGTCACGGTGACGTTGAAATAGCTTTCGCAAAAGTGGTTAACCAGTGGTCTATTGTGTGGCTTTTCCAACGTTGTGCAAAAACGCATCGCACCGGGGTGTGCGCTTCTTCACGTCGGCTAGCCTCAAACGTCGAGTCCCATTCCGAGTGAAAGAACGTGGCGTCCGAGAGTTACCTAAGAGTTCACGTATTTCCTATCCTTTCTATCGCGCGATCGTAGCGTAGAAATATCGTTTCTTAACCATCGTCACGGTACACCGTGTTCGACACGGCGGTATATTCCTCTCCCGTTTCAAAAGGAATCGAGTTTCTCTTTGGCATTTACAACGGGGGAAAATATAATAACGTAGAATCAGAATGCAGCTTTCTCTCCCTCTCTCTCTCTCTCTCTCTCTCTCTCTCTCTCTGGTCAGTCGCCGGGAATTTTCCATTCGTGGAGTTAACAATAGTCGCGTCGTGTTTGCATAATGCCTGAAAAAAAGAAAGACATCGCGATCAGTGTTATTACGAAATAAATCAGCGGAGCGAAATTAACGCGATAGGAGAATATAAAAGGAGCCTTCTTCGCGATTCTACCTTTCAAACTGCGAACAGGACACCTCCTTGTGCCTGCAGGAATATTCACGCTCTCAATGGCACATTCGAAACGAATCTTCAACCAGACTCCTAATTAATCAACGGACCGTGCTTGTTTACGATGGATCGCCGATCCAGCCAATTATTACGAAATTCTCGGAAAGCCTCGGTTTAAACAATTCCCGCGCGATTCGAATGGCGTTTTCGCGCCAACTCCCTCGTTCAACGTCTCGAGCGCGATTACGGGCCTTTTCAGACCAACGCGCAACGCGTTTGAAATTTCTTCGACCGTCGCGTCGAAGAAATCGCGCGAGAATGCCGCCACCGGTACCAGCGAGTCTCTCTCTCTCTCTCTCTCTCTCTCTCGCGATTGGAAAATGACGTTGTTTACTAGACACGACATATTTAACGCTGGAAACTTTCCGGGAAATAGCGCGAACTTTAATTAAAACGAGCAGCGTGAATACGAACAGAACAGACAAGTCTTACTCTTACAAGCTTCTCCTCGCTCGAAAGAGAAGTTGTCGTTGCCTGCTGTTTCGAGCTGTGTTTCACTTTCTCCAATCGCATCGAGACCGTCGTCAATTGAACGAGCCAACTTTTGTCCATCACTGATGACCAATCACTGTTTCCATAAACGCGTGACAACATGTACAATCATTGTCGCGATCTGAAAATAATGAAGGAAATCAATCGAATGCGTTCCTTAGGAGATGCGTCACCAGACCAAGGCTTCTTAAAGGAGATATATGTGAACTAGGAATACGAATTAAAACATCGTAAGGAAATTTTATTCGAATACAATTCTTTGGTATACATACGAACATAATTATTTGACATAATTAATTGACACGTTCCGTTGCCGCGTGGGGCAGATACGTTCAAGAAATTTGGAATAAACCAAAAGTCATGTATACCGCGTTTATCTTATCATTTTTTTCCAATTGTCAAGATCAATTCAATTCGGTAAGAAGACGCTACAAAATTTGTTGACAAAATAAGGTGAAATGGTTGAAATAACGTTAAAGTAAATAGTACTTAGTATACAATTATATATTTATATAATTTACATCATATTTATAAATTATCATGTAATATTATTTATTATTATAATTTAATTTTATTATTAATATTATTATTAATATTATTATTAATTATTTATTAATATTATTATAATTTAATACGCAATATTTGGAACAAAATCTTTCATTTTGACGTCGTTAGAAAATTGTTAAAATAACACCTCAAAATTAAATTTATCTTAAACTCTAGACACATCTCTTGATAATTATACTTTTTGCACCATTGTAAAAATTGTAAAAGATAGCTTCAGAAGCAAAATTGATCGTAATAACGCCCCACGCGGCCTAAATAGAAAGTAAACCAAAAATCGGCCCCGCATGAAACGTGTCAAAGACAAAGCCAAATATTTATACTAATTTTTCAGTTTTGCTAAAGCTTCTACCATCCACCGATTTAGTTACGCGATTCACGCTTTCAGAACTCCTGCATTAAACAACGTTACTAGTATCGCTAGAAAGTAACAACTTGCGATAGTAACGTAATCGATTACAGCCGATATTAGTATAAAATCTATTGGTTCGAATCGCTTCGCGATCCTAGAGTTTCCTGGATACGAACGAATACCTACTGCGTGAGAAAAATAATTCTCTCTCTTGGATTCTCGATGAATTAATCATTCTTGTTGCCGCAGTGATAAACTGATTGACTGGTTTATTGAATTTTAAAATGACAGAACGATTGACATTGTGCAAAGACACGAGCAAAACGTTATCGTTCACGCAGCCTTGGTTTTATTTTAAAGTCGACGTGCGAATGGTTCGCTGAAAGCTCGATAAGTGATTGTAAATGAGTTCTGGTAACTAGAAACCGGCGCATCGTTCACTCGTGCCACTGAAAAATAAATGTACCGTATTATATATTTTTTGACGTGAGTTATTATAAATTGTAAACTAATTAATTGGAACCTCCTCACCGACGGTTTTTGCGGAATAAATCTCGGGATAAATTGTGAGAATCACCGATCTATCGGCCTGGCCCGATTATGTAAATTATTTCATGGCGAGCATAACGACCGATTAAACTTCCGTGTTAATTCTTTAAATCACGAACGAAACATGCTAATTATACTCCATTTAATCGGCAGCTCGTACGTAAATTTTAAACGTTCCCCTTCCCTTCTCTTTTTCACTTTCGAACAATTTGACCCGTGAATTAGCAATTTTATTGAAATATTAAATAAGTTACGAGACCATGCAACGTACGTAGATTTAGCCTGCGTTTAAAGTTAATACGTTTGAATTCATTTAAACGACCGGTGTGTACGTACGAACAGAAAAAGTTCCCCTGTCCCATTTATTGTTCGAGATTCCACTTTATGTAGAACTTTCGTTCGCTGGTATTTTGCATATTTTTCAGTATTATTCGAGTTAAACGCGATAACACACGGATCTGATAAACAAATGGATAAATCTGGAACTTGGAAATTCTTTGCACACATACACGCAGCTATGTGAAAGCCTATTCGAACACACACGTGGACAAATTTCACGTCTCTGTAAAGTATATCTTGAAATTTCATTAGCGCTGTAGTAACACTCTCTATTATCGGTTATTTTGAAGCAGAACTCTGAAGATACACATAGATCTGATAAACAAATGGATAAATCTGAAACTTGGAAATTCTTTGCAGCTGTGTGAAAGCCTATTCGAACACACACGTGGACAAATTTCACGTCTCTGTAAAGTATATCTTGAAATTTCATTAGCACTGTAGTAACTCTCTCTACTATCGGTTATTTTTAAGTAGAACTCTGAAGATACACACGGATCTGATAAACAAATGGATAAATCTGAAACTTGGAAATTCTTTGCAGCTGTGTGAAAGCCTATTCGAACACACACGTGGACAAATTTCACGTCTCTGTAAAGTATATCTTGAAATTTCATTAGCGCTGTAGTAACACTCTCTATTATCGGTTATTTTGAAGCAGAACTCTGAAGATACATTTATACAACGATCGCAAAGCAGTTAAAAGCTAGCGTCTGTTCAAATATTTGAAAAAGTCAAGAAACTGTGAATTGAATGTTTGACACCAATTTAAATTAACATATTACGAAATTTCTTTCAACCACTAACCGCAAGTTAACGTATTTTTCCAGATTAGTTTCAGCTTTGATCAATACGATCGCATAATAGTGTTAATAAAATTTCAAAATGTTTCCTACATCACATACAGCACGGATATAAAAGTAGTGCATATTCGCGGAGATGATGATAAATAAAACAGAAGAGACCTAGCCACGAACTAACAACAAATGTATCTCGCGGTAGGAATACGATTGACATTCGCGCGGCGATACTTTCGAACGATATAAAGTATAACCAAGTCAGTCTTTGAATACGGATCCTGTGAGGTAACTTTGGTAACGCAGATAGTTCTGCAAGGGGCATCTCGACCGACTGTACCAATTAGACAACGAGCCATACGTCCGTGGTCTCCTCTGCTTATGGAGGAACTCGCACAGATTGCACACCGCTTGCCGAATGCCCCCGTCGACTTCGTAACATCTCTTCCAGGCGAAGTACTCGCCGTACTCGCGCGGATTCTCGATCAGCTTGCCTAAATATTCAGCCAGGCCCTTTGGCGTGTCGAAGTCGAGCGCGTCTATGTAGGAGCGCGGCGGAGCAAAGTGGCTGTAATTGGCGCCGCCGTAAACGATGGGAATTATGTTGTATCTGAAAGCAGAACGGAAATGATACTGTTTGCCTGGGCTTCCTTCAATCGCCTGGCCGTTCCCTTCCGTTCATTCGTCGACACTGAAACGACCAAGTATCCGTTAGAGATAACGAGCAAATTAAGCGTGGAATTTCAATCGCGGCGAGCTTCCACACGCGTCGGTTTCTCAATTTTGTTTCTAATTCTAGCAATTTTACAGTTTCTCGCAAACGTAATGAAAGAAACGTAAAGAAGCGCATGACTCGCTTGCCTAAGTTCGTTTCTCTCA